GAGAAGAATGGCCTGAGACAGGCTTGGAGAGGCAGAAGCATGCAGGCTTGGTGAGGGGTTTTACTCTTTCTCTAAAAGCAAGGGCAGTCTATTGAGATGACAGATGACCTGTGTCTGAAAAGGTCCTTTAGCCTTCAGTGGGAAGAATAATTGCAGGAGGCAAAGACAGATGTGGTGAGACCAGTTAGGAAGCTATTGTGGTAATGTGGGCAAGTCAAGATGGCAGCTTGGACTGGGAGACAGTGGCGGATGGAGAATTTAGGAATTACCTAGAAAATAAATGCAATGGGGTCTATGTTGAATTAGATAGATGGAATATGTAAGAGGAAGGGGTCAGAAGAGCTCTCAGGTTTCTGGCTTGTGCAATGTGCACTGTTCTATTAAACCCCACAATACTGACTGTTGTCTCTCTAATTTGGAGATGCAGAAGCATTCAGAATGTTCTTAGGCACTATCCATTCCATTCCAGTGCTAGCATTCATTCAGGCAGCCTGAATCTGAAATCTGTGCTCTTGGCAGCTGCTTCACTGAGGAATGCGAAGAACTACACAACTCACAGGGAAGGATGCCTTACGTGCACAGGTAAGTGGAGGATGTAATGAAGGAAATGGGCATTGTAACTTTAACATACATAGTCATTTTCTAAGTCCAAGCCCTCAGATGTTCATGGACACTAGCAGCTGGTGTTATTGCCATTCTTATGAAGGCAATGAGCACTCACATTTTTAGCAATTATGATTTTGTTAAATCTCCATTTGTGTATGTATTCACAACTGCACATGTGTGTGCATGTGTTCTTGTGTGTGTGCATGCATATGTGTGGCATGTGTGGTGTGTGCATGTGTGTGTTGTGTGTGGTGTGTGTGGTATTGTGTGTTGTGTGTGTGGTGTGTGTGTGTGTGTGTGTGTGTGTGTGTGTGTGTGTGTGTGTGAATGCCTGCGTGCACATGGAGGCTGGAGGCTGATATTATATTTTCCTTCATTGCTCTCCATCTTGGTTTCTGTGTCACAGTGTCTCATCCAACCTGAACATTCACAGGTTTGGCTAGACTGGGTGTCCCACACAACAAAGGGATGTTTTCATCTCCCTAGTGCCAGGATTACAGGTGCATGCTTCCACACCCAGATTTTTATGTCACTTGTGAAGATCTAAACTTAGTTCCTCATGCTCTTGAGGCAAGTAAATTTAATAACCAAGCCATCTCCCCTCCCCTAAGTATCATTTTTATAAGGAAATAATACATGCTTGTTTCAAAAAAGATGAAAGAACAAACAAAAGCAGAGAGAAAACAGAAAACAGAAAAGAAAATCTGCTAACATGTCATTCAGAGGAGGGGGAAGAGCTTGCTTGATATTCTTGAAACAGTGGCCCCAATGATTATTTCATAGAAGGGTCCTATAACCTGGGCTTTGGGGTGAGTTTGAGTTTAGGAGAACTTTGGCTTCTAGGGCTCCAGTCTTCTCTGTAAACCGAATGAAATCTTTCTTCATTTAATAATCTGGTCACAGGCCACTGTCTTTGGAGCTTGCATGGGAGTGTGACAGTGCTGGGCATATTAATACCATTGCAACGAAGGGCTGACAGATACAGCTTTGGACTCTCAAACCCCTTATTGGCACCTTCATCTTAGCAAGGGCTCAGTTTCCTCCCTGGTACAGTGGAAGTGCAAGTGGCACGTTCACAGAGACCCTGGGAACTGTAGCTCACCTTGTGCAAAGTGCTTGCAGAACTCTCCACACACACAGGAGGCTCTCTAATGGTAGCCAAAGGTCTCATAAGCAGGTGGCAGGACAGAAGTCTAGTGAATGGTCCCTCTCTGGGGAGACACAGAAAAAGGCCCATTGGGTCTTCCTGCCCACACTTTCCAATAATTCTTACTGAGCTATGGTTCTTTAAAGTCCATGCTACAAGCTAGACGCTGGAGATACCAATTTAAGACCTAGACTCAAGTTATTAAAGAGACAGCATAGTTGTAGAGAGCAAATCAAAATACTCCAGCACAATTTGACAGCCAATGAAGGGATTCTCTGAGCAAGAGTACCTGGGGCTCGTAGAGGAAGTGACTCTTTCTGCTTCTGGGACAAGAGAAGGCTCCATAAAGGAGCCCTCCTTTCTGCTGGGCATTGAAGGAGGGGTTGAATTTGTTGGGAGGAGAAAATGGGCATGTTATCCAAGCCCGAGTGCTTAAGGAAAAATCCCCCCCCCATTTTTTTGTTCTCACAGCCCAGAAGCCAATGGGGATGCCAAGGCTCTTTTGGAAATATAAGGCCATAGTGGAAAGAAAGATTGGGGTGGGCTTGGCAATCTGCAATCCCCAGACTTCCTTTTTGCCTCCCATGAACTTCTTCCAATATCTGATGCCTCCATAGTGTGCTTGGTGCCTGTCCTGCCTGAGGGCTCCCTTTCCTATTTGATATACTCACTAGTCCTCTGCCTACCTTCTGCCTACAACAACCTGCCTGGAGGAAAGGAGCAGATGTGTATGGCTTAGCCTGCAGTGTGGTTTGCAGTGCTCTGACCTTTTCCCCAGGGTGTTTGCCTTTAAGTCTCTTGCTGTTTTGTCCAGTGAACTCTTTGATGTTGGAATCTCATTTTGTCTTGTGATCCGTGGTGTGCACCCAGAGCATGAAATCCCAGGTAGCAGATATATTCTGTGTGGGTACTATGCACTATAGGCACTGTGGCAAATAGCTATTGCTTTCCAGCTCTCATGGACCCGGTGTTTCCCCATTGAATTTGTTAGCTGATGTGCTTAAGTAGAAAATAGTTGGATTTGTGACTTTGTGTGTTTAGCTTTATTTCTTGACTTCTAATTGAGAAGTTATAGTAGCCCCTTTTATAATTATTTCAGTTCTTTTCATATTTCATTTCTTAAGAGCCCTACCAACAATACTGTGTACACTTTGACCTGAGTGTTGGGCAACGTGCCTTTCTAGGATTCCCTACCACTCATGGGGCACCTCAGTAACACCTGTTAACAGGTTCTTTCCTACATGGCTACAAAATGAGAAGTGAGATTACTATTTTCTTAAAATAAGAAAGCCAGAACAATGTATGCTGATTTTAATTGCTTCTTAAATAAGTGGATGAAATCAATTATTTAGTTGACAATGTTTATCTTTTCAGCATCTGAAGGGGGTTTATTAAATCCAGCTGCTAAGCCATTTCATTAGCATGAGTAAAAGGCTCACATCTGTGGAGAAGGTGCTTGAGGAAAATTGGGGGTGAGCAGCAGAGGGGACTGTCCTGGGAACCTGAGTGTAACTGTCCTCTAGATAGTATAGGCTTGTCTATATACTAGTCATGTAGGGCTATGCAGTCTAATGTGGATCAGCTATTTGTATCAAGTGCCCGATTCTGCTTATGTGTCCCGGCCTTCCCCATGCAGGCTCTGAGCAGGCTGCTCTGGCTGGAGTCATTCATCTCCACCTTTGACCTGGTCCATATTACCCCCTTAAAGTAGTCAGCTGGGCAACAGCATATGCATATCAAGGATCACACACACACACAAATCTTGACTTACAAGGAATAAAAAATTATGTCCAACACATGGCACTAAAAAAAAGATGTATTGTTTACAGTCAGCAGTTGTCTGGAGAATAGGTGTTTATTTGTAGTGAGTATATTAAGATCATTGACATTAGACATATATAGCCTGCATTGTGTCTTCTCTTATTGAAAATTCTGTATTGGGACCAACCTTTAATTAGAAAATCCTGTGGCAATGAAAACTGTCCAACACTAATCTTCAGCACCAACAGTCTAGGTTATCATTGTGCTTTGAGGAGGGGTAGGGGAAGGAAGAGAAGAAAGAGAGGAGAGAATAAATGCTTTTCTGTGGAAAAATGCCCTTTTGAAAAATGGATAGTTCACTTAAAACCATAAATGAAATGTCCACTAAATAGATACTAAATAACAGAAAAAAAATGTCCCTACCATTCTTCAAAAACTTAAACATGCTGTGTTTACTTCCCCCTCTAAACATGCATTTTTGGTGAAAAGTGTATTTTTTAAAATGACTGGATTTACTTATTAGGACTGGCAGGTCTCTCACAATTTCTTTAGCTCATTTAATAGCACTGAACCTTCCTGTTGCATAATGGGAAGATGGAGCACTCTTTCAGGTCAGGAGCCATTGCCATAAGACTGGTGTCCCGTCCGTCCTTCCTTCTGACACATTATAAACTTTGTTCCTCTATAGCAAACAGACTCGTGTCTCTACCAACGGGTGGTCCAAATCATCTAAAGTTCTGAGGAGTGTTACATTCTAATTATTCATTCACCTGAGACAAGTGGGTCTACATTAAACATGGGGACTCCACAGCCTAAGCAGCTTGTTTTCAACTTGGGCATTGTCTTGGGTGATGGGAAACCTTTGACAATCTTGCTTCTTTTAGATATAAAGTAGGTTTGTGATATGATCATAAATATCCAAAGCATCTAGCGTATATCCACCAGATTGACATCTATCCGTGTTACCTGTGAGGGTGAAATATGTAGCAAGGTACTGAGGGACTCCTTCCCACCTGTGAGCTGAAACAGCAGCTGATGTCTGGGCCTTGTCAGTGATGGACAAATGAGGGGGTGATGGTCTGTCTGAAGAAGCCCTTAAATGCTAATTCCCTCTTTACCAGCTGAACCCACCAACCAACTCCTTCTGTCACATCACACCTTCTTCCTCTCTTCATCCTCCAGCGTTCTGCAGGACAAGGTAGGAAAAACGTACGTATCCCCCAAGAACACTCATAAATCAAATGAGCAGATTCATATTGAGGGCAAGACAGTGGGCAGAGGGAGGTCCAAAGAGGGACTTTGCAGCCTGGCTTCTAGAATGCAGCCCTGCAAATATACACAACACAGTAGAAATTTATAAAGTCAGTTTACTTGTGTTATATTATTAATTTTGGGCAATTAGATGACATAAGACAAATCTTTATGCTCTTGTCCTGCTCTACTGTTTTGTTCCCTGCCTTGAGTCCATTTCATAATATAAGCTCATCTGGAGCACTAAGACTCTCTGTCACAAGAAGAAAGAATCCGTTCTTGTCTGGAGGCAAGGGGATCCCAAAGTGGCCTTGGGAATCCTGTTAGATTAACTCATTCACTTGTTTTGAGTTACCTCGCTATTCGATAGGAGTGCCTGCACTTCTGAGCCAAACCCAGAGAGAGGGACTGCGTAAGGGCTACAGCATCTGCTTCCAAAAGCTCATCTTGCTTTTCCCCTTGTAGCATTCCATTATTCACACAATTTCACAGAACTAACCTGGAATGATATCCTTCAGATGAACTTTAGTGTGTCCATTATAAGCTCCCATTTGGTTCAGGACTATCCCACTTTAAAATACCCACTTATAACTACCAGCTGCAGATTCTGTTCTCGTCGTACTCACAAGTGCACACAGGAACGCTCACAAATGCGTGTGACTGTGGGCATGCACAGGCCGCCGCACACTCTCACTGTCTGTATGCAGGCATCCAGAAAGAACAAGGCATTGTCAAAACTGTCCTGTTGAGTGTGCAATCTAGAGTGAGTTACCGAGTGCTGATAAGTAAAGGAAGTGCAACCAGACAGCTTAATCCTCCAATTTCCTGTCTTCTAATCAGCCCCTGATTCTCTTGGTTTTAAATTAGAAACACTCCTGACAATATTCAGGACAGGTGAAGGAAAATCAGCTAGAAAAGAAGGAAAGACAAAGCGTTTATTTCACTGTCTAAAGTTCACAGGAGAAATACGACCGTAACAACAGGAAATCAAGATTTTTAAGAAAGATAGCAGAAGAGCACAAGCTAGCTTAAGCAGCCAATCACATTTCCGAATGAAGCAGATTTGGACCATAATTAGATTTAAGGAGAAAAAAAAAAAGGAACTAGTCTAATGTATTTGCTTCTCTCTAAGAATAGTGAATTGTATTTGAAAAGCAGTTGTACAGGGCTGACCTCAAAGAAAATGATAAGGATAAATTCTTAATATATGTGGAAGAAAAAAGTCAACCCTACCTCATTCAGATTTTTTTTAGAACCTATTACTTCCAGTGCTGAGAGAGAAAAAGAATATTTGAGGGCATAGAAACATCTGAGGTTGGTAGATATTCCTAGACATCATATGGTTACACTTATTCACAATGGTGGCTACTTAAAGTTGTTTATTTAATAATGAGCTCAGATCAAGCCATTCACTGTATAAAAATATTTTTAAAGCACACAAATGTGTTAAATTCAAGGTATAGAAATATGTTTATCATGGACTCTTTTAAAAATAGACCAGGTACTGAGACGATGTCATGCTTTTTTTTTTTTTTCCTGGTTCTCCTCTTTTTGAGTCTTTTCATTTATTACCTTTTTTTTTTACAATTTCAATTTTCAAGTTATTTCAATCATTGTCTTGAAAAGGCTAGTGCCAATTCCTAGGAAAATCTTCATTAGGCATTACCTTCAAAGGCACACAGAAAATGGTCATTAAGAAAAGTTGTTCAGTTGACAATTAACATTTAAAAATTGAAATGGTAAATGTGGCTCACGATGTGAATTCAAGCAAACAGCAGCAAGAGGTTTCTGTAAACATGAAGCTGCCAGTCCCTGTGGAAGTAGACTGCAGGTGAAGGCTTTTAATTGATAAGCAGAATAAGACAGTATTTCACAGAAACATGCTTTTTACATGCATATTTTAAAAAACAGGTATTTATATCATAAACCATACCAGATCCTTCTTGTCCAAGCATGCTCCTGGTATAACAAGTTTGAGTTGTAAACAACTGGACTAAACAACAATTATTGATTTAAAATTAATGTGTCGATTTCTAAAGAAATTGTCAAAAATAATTGGTTAGGAATTTGGCCTGGGTAACAACAGCTAGCTGCAGAATCACCCAGTAATTTTTGCTTTAGTCATCATAAATTTTAAATTTGAATGATAGAAGAAAGACAAGTGTATTTTGGAATTCGCAGACAAATTTTCCCATAACAAACCCTTATCGCTAAATTAGTTTGGCCAGGAGAAGGATTATTAAGCTGTATGGGGAGAATGGAGGTGTTTTAGTGGGTAAAAGTCTCTCTTGGAGCATATATGTGCATTCGGGGCATTTCCAATTTGTTTAGAGTTGGGAAAAATTTTGTGAGCGCTTTCTTTAGTTTTCTGTCGGAAAGTTTCAACTGGAGATGTCACAACACAGTGAGATGCAGTTGATACGCAATATCTATTTCTTGATTTACATGATTAAAGCATTAGAGACGTGGCTCAGATATCAAAAGAGTCCCCATAAGTGGCGGTGCCAAAGGTAATTACTGTTAAAATGTGCATGCTTGAACCCGGTTGCCTGTCAACCCCCAGTTGTTTACAACTTAGTGCCTTTGAATACAAGTTTTCATTAGACGTTGGAGTATCCTACATACTTTTTTGCTCTATTTGATATAAAAATACATTTTTAATTTCTTATGTTCAGTGTCCTTAAAGAAAGCATTAACTTTTAACCTAAAGAAGTAATAGCCAGAGATGTCCCTTCTCAGCAACTTACGCCACAAAATAACTGTTTCTTAACTGGAAGTAGTCTTTTCAAGACAAAGCTGAAACATATTCAGAAAGAATGGTGATTACTTCATCCAACTGATTCCAGTTAGTTATCAGAAAGAGCACTAAACTCCACTGTACACCAGAGCAGTTATGGGGGGCAGGGAGGTAAAGAGCAGGGAGAGGGGGCGTTCTTAATCTTTTATTGACCGGTTTCTTTCATTCTAGTGTGTCTTTATTATTTAGGGAAAAAAATTAAAAAGTGATCCAGAGCTCCACCCATTTGCACCTAAATCCTGCAATAGGTGATGATCCTCCATAACCTGGCCCAGCACATGCCCCCAAACTAAAACAAACAAACTCATTTGCCATACAAATTGTTTACGATTCATTAAAAAGCAAAATTGCATATCCCGGTGCTGGCAGCTGAGGCCGAGTCTCCATGGGCGGAGGGGGCATTCACTGAGTTGCCTTTGTATGCTGGGAGGACCAAGCCGGAGGTTCCCACTATGAGCCCGGAGTCTGAGCAGCCAGATGACACAGGAGGTAATTTTAAAGTTTTATTTGCTTTTAATGTGAAATTCAGATCTTGAATTGTCCTTTGCTTGAAGAACCATGTGAGCCAGGAGAAGCGTCTTTATTTTTTCAGTTTGGAAAAAATTGTTTGGGTTAGTAAGGTGATGATATTGAGGGAAAAGGAGTGAGGGTTGTTTAAGGAAGACGATCTGAAAAAAATGTGAAATTTGTATTCTTTTAATTAGTTGTGCCTCCTTCATCAAAGCCTTTCCTTAGTTTACTACCAATAATGGGAATTTACGTCAGAATTATTTGTAACTGGTAGGTCTGAAATGCTATGGTGTACAATAGCCCTAAGGGAACTCAAATTTTGATTTATTCCCTATGGTAATTTCTACAACTTCTCTAAAGAGCCTGGAGATTTCTCACCCCTTATTCAAAGCAAAAAATCAAGAAGCACTGCAGAAACTCCTCTGCAGTATGCAGCCGAAACAGCAGCGTGCAAGCTTTCAGCATTGTTTATCTTTAGTCAAATGCATTGCTAAATGTTCCCACCACTTTTATACATTATGTTCCCTGCGGTAAAACATCTGTAAAAGAATTTTAAATGAAAAGCAACTTCCAAGTAAACTTTACAGTAAAGAAATTATAGTTTTCCAAATTAGAAAAAAAAAGTAAGAAGCATTTGGTAATCTTTGTAAGAAATAATAATGATAATAAAAGAGACAATTTGCCATTAAAAAGTAACAGTCTATAAAATCTAGGACCTCTTGAAATACAGTAAGGAAACAGTGTTTCACCCAGAACATGGCATCAGGACAGTTTTTTTTTTTTCAAGCTTACAACTTAGCCTAGAAAATAATTGCCAAACTAATCAGTAAATTCATTTGTAGTGCTTAACAAGCTGTGTGAATCGAAGCAATATCACCGTCTCATACAAGCAAACCTTGCTCTTGCTGGCAGACAGTCTAATGGGGGAAATAAATGCCTTGAATAAAAGTTCAGGGTCCTAATAGATAGACGATTGCAAGTCTCATTAGCCAAAAGCCGTCTGTAATATTGTCCCCCGCAACCACTGGTAAAGTTTCTGATGTCTAGTTAAGAAATTACAAGAGAAAACATTCATGTACACACATACCCACAACTACTTTTACTCAAGTCCTTGGAATGGACATACTGAATCCCAGGCAGCAGCTGAATAGAATCCTGCAGTAGTTCACTTTTAATAGGCTCAGTCTTCCGAATTCCTACATCTTGCCAAAATGATAGCACCATTTGTCCAGGAAGGGAGAGTACTTTTTCTGTAGATCGTACAGTAAACCATGCCCTGTTTTGTAATTCCGTTCGCCAGGCTCCCCCTTCAGCATCACACACTCTCCTTTTCTTAAACTGATATCTATGTGAAATGAGCTGAAGTTCACGGTCCAGTTAGGAACGGATAATACATTCATTGTCCTGGGAGCAAACTTTTTTTTTTCACTCCCTGGAAGAATTCACGCTTGCTGCAAGAATAATAATTACGGAAAACTAGGAATGCAGTGCTAACGAATTAATCCTTAACGGACACCACCCTAACGAGGACAGCAATGATTCTGGGACTCTCTTCCTCACAGGACCCGCGTCTCCTGTGACAATGAGCTATTGTACATCCCCCACTTCACTCTAGCTCTTATAGATCCCAGAAGTCAAAGGTTGTCTGGCCTGGTTGACCATGACATGTGAGTTAACTCATTCGGCAGCTACAAGTTAGAAGTTCCTCAAACTTTCTTTTGCCCAGAGTAACTGAAAGAAAGAGTGTGTGGATCTGTTCCACTCAGACTTGGGGGTTCTAAGAAATGGAAGAGCTGCTGCTCCCACATAAACAAACATGGAAAAGTTAGATGTGAGAGCTCTGGTCCCCTGATAGAAGATGAGGAATGGAGTACTCTCACAGGTGACTTGAGGCATTCCAATTACTGGGGCATGAAAGGATTCACACAGGGCTTGCTTTTCTCCAGTGCTCAACATGCACCCCTAGAAAATTTCACAGCCAAGGAGAACCATGCGTCCCATAGTTCTCAAAAACAAAAGTGAAGAGGATGTGAAGCTAGAGAGAAGACACAAAACCCAAGGGACAGGACAAATAGCTCCTTTTCTATCTGCAGACGTCTGTGGCCAAAATACAGAATTCTACCTTAAAACTTTCGATACTCTTAAAAATATTTTTAATAATAATAATCATCATCATCATCATCATAATAATATAAAACCCCCCAAACACCAGATACTGTCCCATAGAAAACAAGGGCACACATTACTGGGAACTCAAGTTGCAGAGTGTCGGGGAGAGGGAGGGTGGCAAGGGGAAGCAGTGTGAGGCAGCCTCACAGAAGAGTGTGAAAAAAATCAAATGTGAGTTTGATGAATGTGAGGTCTGGGACATTTTGTCAGAGAGGGAGGGAAAGTAGAAAAGGAGGGGGGGAAGGAAAAAAAAAAAGGCAGTCCCGGCTGCCAACTCACCATCCACCAAGTTCTGGCCGAGATGTCGTAGCAAAGCTGCCATTTGATGGAGCCGTCGGAAGCCTTCCCTGCCATTACGCTGTCAGCAAGCTTCATCTGATGCTAACTCACGGGAGATAAGACACCTAATTGAGAAAACATTTGCAGTGGCATGTGGGGCAACATGTAGTCCGGTCCATACCATATGGAATCATGGGTAAAAAAAAAAATCTCCTTGACAATGAACCAATCTCTCCCAGACCCAGTGGCAAGGTGAAGTGGAGATGAGAAGTCTGCTGCTAGCACTGTCCTCTCTGCTCCCTCTTTAAAACAAGAGCCCACTGCTACACATCAAAGGGAGGTGGTTAAAATTAGGGCTTCATCACTCAGATGATTTTGGTCTGCAAGGTTTTTCCTTTCCTTCCAACATCCACCCCCCCAACCTTTTTTTTTTTTTTTTTTTTTTTAAGGAGAATAAAGAGATTTAATAGGACAAAGGCAGGTAGTGGACTGCGGAGGGAGATCGCCACAGGCTATTAGCCTAAAATTTCTGCCTGACAGATGGAACTGCTTAGAGACTATCATGCAATGTTTGGGGCGTTTTTCCCTCCCCCCCACCCCAACTCAGACTTTAAGTCTGATTCAGTATCTGTGTTTCACAGCCACCCTCCTCAAGAACGTGAGCTGTGCATTTTAGAAAGTGTTTGGTTCGGTTTTGCTGGGTTGCACATCTCCCTTGGAAGCAAAGCAAAGAATCTAAAACTAAATCTGGGAAGAACTGCACAGGCTTTCCAAGGAGAAAAAAATCCCAGGGGCAAAATATTTCTCCTTCTATACCTTGTTTGGTTTTTTTTTTGATTTTTAATTAATTCATTAGTTAATTTGGTTATGAAAGAACCTAAATCCAAGATGCCAGCACCGGAGTCTCTTGCTTTCTGGTTCAGTTGGCATTGTGTTTAGTTGTGTTTCCATGTGAGTAAATTACTACATTCCTGATGTGGTACTCATTCTAGCCAACACTAGGCTATATATCTACATTTCTGATGCTGTTCACAAGAATTCTGGAATCTTCATTCTTCAAATATAAAGTATGCACTCATTATCAATTCATTTTTACACGATTCAGGCTAAATTGAATATGAGAGTCTCCTTAGTCAGGAAAAATTAACTCTGATTTCCTTACTATGACCTAGCCATCTTTTTTTTGTAGGGATTTCAAGTTAAGCTTTTTTTTTTTTCATGAAAAACACACACAAGAACATGGACATAGCAATAAAAGTACTAGAAAAATGATTTTTTTTTTTTTTAGGTGGGAAAACCTCTAGACAGCTGCCGAATACAAGCCACTTATTCAGGACGAATGGGAAAAGGGAAGTGTGCAGAATCTCTTGCATTGGGTCACTTGCATTTGGTGGCTGTCATTCCTGTGAGCTGAGCTGTGCTGGGGCTGCAGACGGCACCTGTGCAGCAGCAACACTGCAACCTCAGCCTGAGTTTTGTTTTGAAGATGAGCTACATTGGGGTCCCCAACTCCCACCAGTGACAATCTACACAGGTCTATGCCCAGAGGCCTTCCGTGTGGGCACCTCAGGGTCCGGGAGAATTGATCACTATTTCTCAAAACTACCCAATTCTGATCATTGAAGAGTTGTGTTTTTACAGTCCAACTACCTGATGGATTTTTCCCAGTCATATTTTCAACCTAATTATGTTTTGGGAGCTTTTGTTCAGGTCTTTAAGTCGCAAAGAAGTTAAATTGGATGGCTTTTTTTTTTCTTTATGGCCTATTCCTTAATAGTAGTAGGAGTTATTTTTTTATTTTTATTTTTATTTTAACTATTTGGCCTTATGGTAGTACGGTAGATATCTCTTTTTGACCAAAATAACTTCAGGAAAGTAACTTTTAGTCTTTAGAACCAGAGGTGTTTTCTTGTTTCAGCCATGGCTCACAGGCTGCATTTAGGAATGAACAGCACATTTACTAAACGGGGCATTTGTTCTTTTCTCGTCCCCCATTGTAATCTCCTAATAACATTGGGATAGAAGAATTATTCTCACTCTTTAGAAGGTTCTTTGTGCTTGCACATCCTTGGTCTCAGATCTCTTCGAATAATCTGTGACAGCACAATGTTAGATTGGTGTCGGGATCTGCTGAGGGACACGTGCTCCTTCCAGAAATGCACCCCAACTTTCCCGGCCAGAACCCCCACAGCCTTGTGCAGTCACCATCTTGAGAAAGACAAGGAAAGCGTTTGTAAATTCTATGTAAAATGTAAAATAGTAACTTGACCCCCGCCCCACAAAGGAATAGGAAAAGGAAGCAGCATTCTGTCTTTGAATCTACCCGCTGTTCCACCCATTCACTTCCCTTAGACTCTCTTTCCCACTTCATCTTCTCCGGCTTCCTCTCCTGCATAAAGGTGCATGGACATGTATACTCATGAGGCTGCAGTGTTTCCATGTCTTAGTGTGTCTGTCAGAAACCTCTGAAGTTGGAGGTGTTTGTCCTCTGAGGCACAGCATTTCCAGGATTCAGAACATCGTATGCTTGCCCATTTATTTATGAATGAATGGGGTACTGCCTAAACTGGCATCCAGATTTCATTTTGTGAATGATGAAATACCTGAGAGGACTTTGCAGCAGATAACACAGTAGTCGTCTTGAACAAAGAAATGTTAGATGTTTTTTTGGATAACAGTTTTAAATCCAGAACAATTAGATACATTTAACTTGATCATTGTCAACTAAAAGCCTGACGGAAGCTGCCCTTTCTCATGCAGCAGTCTTTTCACAGTGTGGCCCATCGTTAATAGCCTTAAAACAAGATTAAATAAAACATGTTAAATATTGCAATTATTGTGGGAAATAAAATTATTTGGTGAGCATAATGGGGAACAATTCAAGCATTTAACATGATCCAGGAAATGCTACTCCAAACAATTGCATTGCTTTATGCATTTTCCCCTCTTTGATTGCTGACAGATGCCTTTTTGGAAACAAACATCTAAATGGTTTGCCTTCAGTCAGAAAAAAAAAATATAACAGAAAGCAGCTACATGGTTTGAATTTAACTCTTGTCATTTGAACGCGTCTCCATGCACGTGAGTGGAGCTAAGGCAAAGGCAGCATTCCCATCGGGAAAGAAGTCCATAGAGTCTGAGCTTTTCGTTTTTTTCCTTAACTTCCCTTGAGTGTGTATGATAACAAGTGGGGTCCCCTCGCTGTACAATCAGGAGACAGAATAAGGTCCAGGTGATAAGGGGAAGCACTAGGAGGAACATGGACCGTCACAAGAAGCTTAGGCCAAGTGCCAATGACTTTATAACCTTGCTCTGGTCATCACAGACCAAGTCCCCCAAATGAAACATCCACTTTATATAATGAAAAAACAAAAACAAACAAACAAACAGTGATCCCAGAGCACAAGATTTGTAGCTGGGTCTTTCCTCCAGTGCACTGGGGTATAAGCCTCTAAGACTGCAGTCAACAGGTGTACAATACCGATGAACAGTTCAGAATCTGGTTCTGTGCTGCTGAAGGGCAATGTGTAATGGATTATTAATGTTGTTTCAGAGGCTTGGGTAGTAGAATGGTTGAGAGTACTGTTTCTGAAGTCTCATACCCTGTTCTGGGAGTTACTGGCTGTGTGGCCTCTCCTATTTTAACTAACTTTTCTGATTTTCTGTGTCCTATATTAATCAGGAAATCAAAGAAAATAACATTTATTTTGTAGGCGTGTGTACATTTGTGTATGTATATGTGCACTTGTAAGCAAAAATATGTATCAAGTGCATATTTCCTAATACGTCACAAGTGCTGTGTTGTTACTACTGCTTTGTTTATGCTGTGCCCCTCTTGAGAAGCGCCCTGTTTTTCGGTCTTCTGGTCCTGTGCTGTGAGGCTGGGTTATCTCTCTTCTGTTCTCCTCCAGTAACCTGTGCCTTGTTCCATCACAGCTCTGAGACTAGTCCCCACTCCCCAAATCATGTCTTACAGCCTGCCTTTCCATCTACACCTGAGATTCCCAAGGCTAGGTGGTGTCTTTTTTTTTGTTAGGAGGGAGGGCCATGAGAAGGGCAGGAAGTTCCCCACTACTCAGGTCAGGATGACAAGAAGACACAGACGGTCTGCCCACCTAGAGAGCCGGTTGCAGGCTAACAGTCCAGCAGACTCCTCTTTCCTTTCTGTTCATGCTGTTTCCCCTTTTAGTACACAGTCTGGGTCAGAGTCCCGCTCCACAGGGAGCTGCAGCTCACACCAATCTGCAGCTCTTTGACTGCCTTTGCCTTCCTTATCTCTGTCGCTCTTCTGTGTCTACTCCAGATAGACTGGCTGTATTACTACCTGTCTTTGATGAACATATGTCTTTTATCCATTCATCCATCCATTAAATAGCATTTCTGTAGTGCCAGCAATTAAATGCATTTCCCTCTCCTTTTAAGCTTTGTTTCCAGAACCCTTGGAAATGTGAAACTCTACAAGAGCACGTGATTTGAACACAGCATGTAATAACAGCTAACGTTTATCCAGCATTTCCTCTCAGCCAGGCGATGTTCCAAGAGCCTTAAGTATTTTTTTCCAGGTAGGTTCCTGTGAGGTAGACTTATTATTAACCATACTTCACAATCAGAAACAGATGCTGGGAGGCAAAGTGTTCTATTTAGGGTTACTAAGTTAGAAATAGAGTGAGGATGGAGCCCAGGGGTGGAGTCCAGCCTTTCCATCCCTGGCATTACCTCTGAAGTCACTGATAGGATGCAGCACCTGCTGTATGCCAGGCATCTCTTAAGATGCTTTTAGGTGATGCACGTGAAGCATGCACAACAGTCCTAGGAAGTTGCTATTATTTTCAGTTTTCAGGTCCAAGTCCAAAAGGTAAGAATCTTACCAAAAGATTAAGGAAGATCAAAGACCATCCTGGTGTCTTGGTGTACATCTGTGGTCCTAGGAGATGTAGGCAAGAGAATTGCACATAAAAGGCCAATCTGAACTACAGACAAGATTTTGTTTTAAAAATCAAAAAGGGAACAATTTAGCCTACATCTGCTTGACTAGAAACTATCCCACCCCATGCTTTTCCTATGCTAAGAAAGTAGATACATGGTATTTCTTTTGCAGAATTAGGTGTTGGGCTTAACAAATACTATGAATCACGCACTCCCAGAATCCCTGGAATTAGAAAGGTACCCCATTGCTGAGGCTGCAGAGACCAGTTTAGGGCAAATGGGCATGGGAGATTAAAAAGGAAAGAAAAGAGAAGCCTGTACTGAAAAGAGATTACCTACTCTTAATACCTAAGTCTTTCCTCTAACTGTAGTCAGGTGGAAAAATCCCTAAATGCAGCTAAAAGTACACTGCAGTTCTTCAAGTGAGTGTGCTCTCAGTCATCATCAGCTTTGACACAGCGGAAGAACCGATGTAGGAAGGTAGGAAGTTCAGCTCCTCCAGAAAAAGGCCCACCCCACCTTTTTTCGGAGGTTTCTTTCTTTCTTCTTTTCCTTCCTTCCTTCCTTCTTTCTTTCCTTCTTCCCTCCCTCTCCCCTTTCTTTTTTTTTTTTCAATAAAAGTGGCAAAGCTCTCTGTACAGGTGCACATCGTTTCTAGGAATAAGTGTCCTGACTTAAACACACTGGTGTCTTAAGCCACCTTGCAGTGTGGCAGAAGCAAATTCATAAACCAAAAAAGGCAGTATTGAAAATACACAGGGTCCAGACGGGCCCATTCCATTTGAATGATATACTGTGGGACTGGTCATATTTTTTGCCTGTGTGTGTGTGTGTGTGTGTGTGTGCATGCAAACATGTAGATTTTGTCCTTAAGAAAAACACTGATGCTTTTTCCAGTAGGAACTCACCCACCAGGTCCTGCAAAGAATTAATTTCCTCCTTAGTGGCAGCTCTTGCGCGCCTCGTTTCTATTTAGAAGTTCCTTGACTTTTAATCTCTCTCTGCATTCTCTATTAGCCAGCTGCCATCCAAGACTGGGCTAAACCCTCTGCCCCTTGTTAAAAAGGGCGGGGGGGGGGGGGGAGAAAGAAAAAGAGAACGCATGCAACACAAGCTTCTAATAAGTACATTCACAACTTCTACACAAGGCGCTTAAGAAAACTAAAAGGTTAATATATTCTAACTAGATGTTAGGTATAGAATGTCAGATCTGTCAAATTGCATTATAACTTGCTGCTCATTGGAAAAGATTTGATTTCTTTTGCCACGTCCTACTATGTTCAAGTCACAGACTGCCAGCAGCGGCCCACTGAAGACCACAGGCTGGCAGTGAGCGGGCTCGAGTGGGAAAGCAGCCGCAAGGACCATCTGTTTCCGATTTCTAGCTGAGCCAAGATGTGCAGTGAAGTGCATTCCATTCACCAGGCCAGCTTCTCCCCTGCTCAAGTTATTAGTGTTACAAGTGAGATGATCTTTTCCAAACAGCGGGGGAGCCATAATCCTTATGGAGCAGGATTTTAACACACACACACACACACACATGCACTCACAAAACATACACACACACACACCACCAGTTAGACATCTTTTGTTAAAGTTGTGAGAGAGGCTGCTTATAAATTTAATTACAGCCTTCATGAGGTTTATAAAGCATGTTTTATTAAAGCAATAATAACCTTAGAGGCAGCGGTACATACAGCGGCCTCACCGAGTCTCATTGAATGATCCAGTATCTTAAGGATAGTTTTTTTTTTATGGATATGTTAAGATATATGTTAAATCATCCTTCCAAAGCATACTCAGTTTAGGGATAATCAGTAGGACCCTAGCTTACTGGGACAGGTGGAGTAATCTTGCAAACAGCACAGGATTGAACTCACTGTGTAGGGCAGATAAGCTATTTTTCTTGTATTTAGTCTCCATTGAAGGCTAAGCATTTTAAGAAAAGTTAGGAGGGGATGTAAGAAGGCTGATTGTATGATAGTGCGATGGAAATGCTACTCTGAGAATTTGAGATCTTAAGTAATTAATGTCATAAATGTGTGTTTGGTAACAGGTGATTGACACCATGCCAGGTATTCAGGATTCCAAGGGGGAAGACACGTGGCTTGCCCTCCAGGTACTCACTAGCTCTCACAGAGGAGGAAGCAGGCACAGGAGTAGGCATGTACTTTGCAGTTCAATAAAACCAAGGAAAGTAGTCTTGGCTCTTGTACATACATGACATGTGACTCTGTGCTGTCACATGTCCTCTGTAACTTCATTTATAAAATGGAGATGGTGTTGGCCAATTTACAGGGAGTGCTGTGAAGATGAAATGAACTATTACCTATGTAAGAGAACAAGAATACTGGGTGCACATTTAGCAGGCATTCCGCCTGGTTGGTTTCTGCTTCTTTTATTTATTCTTAGAATTCTAGAGCCTGTAATGTATCTCTTTTGTGAATGAGAGGCTGCCATGTGACTTCTTTTGGTGTGGATGGTCCTGTGGTATGCTCTCGATTCGATACCTCTCCAGGGACATAGTAGCCAGCATCTTTCAGTTGAACTGCCCTCCTCTGGGAGGGAGAAGCTGTTTAGCCTGGAGGCTCTTCTCTGGGGCAGGCTCTGTTGGGTCATATGCAGTCATTAATAACTAGGATCCTAACAAATGCTTTGGTTCCTGGTCAATGATTTTTATAAAAAATGAGTTTTGTTGTTGTTGAAACCAGAGATCACATAAAAATCCACTTAAAGTAAGGAGGTGTGGATAAACAAGACAAAGCCTCTTACTTTGCATGTTGGGAAAAAATGAGGTCCAGCATTGATGACTGCTGACCAAGTTGATGGCAGGGATGGAGTTCCACCCCAGGAAGGCAACAGAGAGAGTGAGACTTTGGAAGAACCTGCGTAAGTTCGTTGTGGTAGCTGTTAGGATCAACACCTGCAGAGAGGTGAAGGAAGCGGTGGGGGGTAGGGGGGGTGGTTGGGCAAGCTGGGGTTAGAAATCACTTGGTCATAATAAAGGCCCAGCAAATCCTGGAGAGAACTTGGAAGCTGAGATGACCTTACAGAGTTACTCCAAATTGAAGCAAAGGGGCCAGGATATTGTACTTAGTGAGAGTGTGCCTCTAGGTCCTAGGAGAAGGAAGAGCCTTCAGGCTAGACAACAAAGACTCAAGACGGAGGGAGGGGCTGAGAGGGAGCTGTCATCTTGGGGAGTGTCTGGATGTTTTGAACACAGGACCTCCCAGAACTGGAGATGTCTCCTGGCTTACTCATTCCTGCAACAGGAGATCCCACTGGCCTCATTTCCCAAGTGTCAGGAGCAGGCTTTCTCCTCCGCTTTTAACATAATCAATCCAGTGAGTTCAGGAAGGTCACCTCTCTTACAAACCACAGGGGGCAGGGAAAGACAGACAGGGCAAAGAGAGAGTGTTGGGCATTTCCTGGCTTTCTAGTTGGCCAAGACAGGTGTCTTTCATAGTAAGTATAAAAATATCTGGAGCTAAGTGTTTCTGGCTGGCTAGTGAGCCCCTGAGCTCTGCCTAATTTCTGTCACCCTAGATAATACAGGGGTTACAGGCACCAGCCACCATTCTGGGTTTTGATATTTGCTCTGGGGATCTGAACTCTGATCTTCATGCTTGTGTGAAGATCACTTTACTCACCGAGTCATCTCCCCAGCCCCTGAAGTATCATTTTTTGATGTAGGACTAAACTCTTAAGAACTAAACTGTTATAGACCTATATACAATGGTCTTAATTTAGTAATTACATATAAGTGAGTATGTATAATGTATGTATTTTCAAATGATGGTGAAAGAATATACTAGAATACTTACTAGTTGTCAGCCTCCAGACCTAAGGGGAATAATGGTGAATACTTTTGTCTCTATTTTTAGAATTTTAAAGATTGTAATAGCATATAAATGAAGTATGAAAGTGATTTGACAAGATGTGTGAAAATGCTTAAGACTTGTTGACTTCATATTTTCTCCTCAGGTATATCATTAAAAAGGTGGTTGCACTACTGTATCTACATACCCATTCAAATATTATTCAAAGTGGTGAAAAATTAGAAATAAATATTCCACACAGTACAACCACATCAAAGCACATTGTGAAGCCATGAACGAAAATGTTGTTTACAAATGGAAAATGCTTATGCTGTAAAAGTGTGAAAAAAGCAGGATGCAAAATTGAACACCCAGAATGAACACAGTTCAGCAAAACCCCAACAATCTATTCATTTAAAGACAGAAAACATTCACATGTTAATGGTTGTGTACATAACTGTTGAGATTATACGTTTTTCTTTTCTGCTCTTTGCAATTTCAGAAGTTCTTTTAATGAAAGGCTGTTGTTTCTATAACAGAAACAAATAGACATTCAAAACTACTGAAGCTGGAACTGTGTACTGACTGGTGGTTAGTCTTAAGCATTCTTCCAAACCCATCATCACCTGTACCTTTGTCTCCATGGCCTTGATTCTTCGCTGGGCGTTCTGGGTACTTCAACATGAGGACTATTCCTTCCCAGATCCAGACTTCTTTGTTAGTGATGTCGTTCCTGATTAGATCAAGGTTCCTGGGGATCTGGAGCTTTGCCTGTACTGTCTGGCATCTGGGTACCTCCTGAAAAACTCAACGCAACACTAGTGGTTCACTTTTATGATTTCCATTTTGGTTTTACAGGAATCTGATAAATGAAGAATGATCTCACTGTTTCAGAGCCACTGGGTTAGATGACTGAGACCCAGCTTCTTATCCTAGGAGTCATGGCCCTATGTGAAATTGTACAATTTGTGTGTGTGTGTGTGTGTGTGTGTGTGTGTGTGTGTGTGTGTGCATGTGTGTTGGGGTTCACAATAGCTGACAACAGTGAGCGGTTTCTTGGATCTTTGGTTGTGAGCCTTTAACTGCTGAGCCGTCTCTCCAGCCTCAGAGAAAGGTTTCTGAATATGCAACAAAGAAAAATGAATTCTAAGTTTGATGTGTAATGATTCTGAGGTGTTTTTGACAGTGCTCACCTGTGTTGCATCATGTGACTTCACTGCAGCCTTGGTTCTGAGAGCACAGGCACACTTTGCCCTGCTGCTTGCTGTCATGCTGTGCTGAGCCTATGAATGCTGTTTGCAACACATGGCTCTGATTGGAGTCTAGTGTGTATTATAAATTTCAGTTTTTGTACTGTCCATACAAAATTTTCTGCTCTTCTACAGTGTTTTAACAGGGTGGTAGGGTGGGGGAGGGGAGATGTATCTATTCCTCAGCATTCAAGATCAAAATAGTGTATATTTGTATTGCTTTGCTTTAGATTATTATTTGATTTTAAAAATTGCTGTTTGAGTTGCTGAGTTGATTTTCTTAAAAAAAAATATAATTCAGTGGGTTCATGAGCTACCTTTGCTTGGAAAACAGATGGACCTAGAAAAGATTATACTGAATGAGGTAACCCAGAAAGACAAATGCTATATATTCTTTCTTATGCGCAGTTTCTAGCTCCAAATCTTCAGATGTGAGTATACAACATGGAGTAGCCACAGAAGCCAGGAAAGTATAAAGAGGCTATAGCAAGGCAAGGGACTCGAGACAGGAATAGCAGGGATATGAAACAGGAAAAAGAAAACTGGGGAGGGGATTGTCTGGTGAGCAAGGAAAAGTCCATAAAGCAGGAGGAGGAGGAAGAAGAAATAACACCAAGGTTATTTAATAAAGTTTCAAGGATACAAAAAATATTTTATATTTACCTAAAATCATATAAGATACACACATATTTATGGGTATGTGTGTATGTATATACCTTAAAGGAAGTTACACCATTGGGGCTGACAATGCTCCCCACAAGAAACAGACTAACAAACCCCCCAGGAATAGGCATGGGATGTCTCCTTTTGAGTGCCTGGTCAGGGTAATTCAAGAGACTCCCCAAACAGTATAGTCTACTATTGTTGCCCTTGGCTGCCTCTCAGAATTTGAAGCTAAAACCCCTTCTGCTGTACCCATACACTGCACACCTAGGACACAATACTCAAATGACTTGAGCTGGATCTGACCTGAAAGCCTCTTTCCTGTGGTCTAGCTTCCAGGGTACCAGAAAACACTATGCAAACTGCCAAGAGAGGGAAGCAATTAGTAGTCCTACCCAGCTGTGATACCTACCACCCATGGCATGACCAGAATGGCCAGATATCCACAAAGGCAGCCAACGTGTGAGGTAAGTGGCACCCACATGTTGGTGGTAACCAATTACTGTTTAATTGCACTTCAGCCAATTCAACGGGAGAAAAACCGTACATGGTACTGGAAACCTATCCAACTTTCCCTGGCTAGTGAGGTCGGAGTTCTTGGAAGACACCCTACCACCATTCTGTTAGACCAGTAAATTCCTGACTACGTTCTAAATCTTATCCTTATCCCCACAGATAAGTGTAACTGTCACCTTTTATCAACAAGTTTCTCTTTACAGGAGGTGAAGACTATCACATAAATCCACAGTTGGACATGAAGCAGACATCAACAGGTCCTGTGGAACCCAGCCCCAACAGATACAACTGCATCACAACTCCTCCATCTATGGTTCTGCAAACACCACAGAAAAGGGGATGGGAAGATTGTAAGAACTAAAAACCCCAGGAAGTCTGCTGTGAAACAGTTTCCCCTAGAAATGTCTGCATGAGCAAGATCTGAACAATGGCAATATCAATAGACATGTTGACATGGAAGGAAAAAATCTCAGAGTCACATCCCTGGATAAGGAACTACAGGCAACTGATGACTGCTGAGAATGATAGAGTTATGTTCTATCAGGAATAAGCTCCAACATTAGTTATTTAATACAAACAGCATTTCTGAAACCACATATATATATATATATATATAAAGCAAGCAACAGAATGGACCCGGCAGGTTGTATTTATATACTTGTGCATATATACATGTAACAATAATAATGGAACAAGAAGAGGCTATCAATTTAAGATTTTCGGGAACTTTGGGAGTAGCTAGAGGGAGAAAAGGGAAGAGGAAAAGGGTTATAATTATTTTTAATTAAAATATATAAAAATTACAAAGAGAAAACATTCAATGAATTTTATTTTGTGATTAGGGCAGTTTCTCATAATTTCTGAAATGGATCTAAACATACTCCTGCATTTTGTACTATGTATTTATGCAGAATGGTGTTCTCAGAATTGATGATTATAAAAATAAACATTGATCACTTGAATAAATATTCAAGATGTTCTATATCCTTCAGTATAAAATCACTCAAGATTCAGTTCTTTATGTGAACATTAGCAAGCATGTCCATCTTATTAGTAAGAAAATTTGATTTAATTTTTAATAAATGGTCAAATTGTATGTATACCAAATAATTGCTTTAAAATATTTTTTGTAATTTGTTACCAGTAAATATATACCTATTTTATATACCTACATATCAATGGTCATGTAAAAATTTCTCAGGTATAAAGGGGTTGTGAGTGGAAAGTTTAGGAAGCCTTGTTCTCGACTGTCTATATCTGAATAATTTTTTTAATATAGCTGCTATTTATTTCTCATTTAACAAGTTTTAAGTTTGTTTTTAATCATAATAAAGATATATAACATTAAATTAACATTAAAGTTTTAAGTGCAGAGTATTGTTAACTATACATACTGTGTTATGTTAAATAACTTAAGTCTTAGTCCTTTTTTTTATCATTAGTCTCAAGACATTTTCAATTTATCTTGATTTATTCTTTGACCCATTGACTATACAAGAGTAAGTTGTTTATTTACATGTGTTTGAGAATTTTTGATTTTTACTTTCATTTTGTTAGGAATGGAAATGATGTTTGATATGACTTAAACCTTATTTAATTTAAGACCTTTTGTGATCTAGCAGTCTATACTGTAGAATGTCCCATTACACTTGGAAATGGTGAGTTCTGTGTCCACTAGACAGAATATTCTTCATATGTGAGTTTAGTCCATCTGGCCTATTTCTTCTTTTCAAGCCTATGGTTTATTTACTGATTTCTGTTTGAGTGTCCTGTCTATTATTGATAGTGGAATATTGTAATCTCCTGCTGTTTTATGTTGCTGTGTATTTCTTCAGTGCTGTCAATGTTTGCTTCATATATTTGGGTTCCCTGAATACAAATTCTGGTGAATTGGCTGCTTTTATCATTACATATACCCTTCTTTGTCTTTCATGCCTTTAAAAAAAACCTTAAATTATCTTTTCCTGGAATGTGAATAGCAGACTTTCTTCTCTTTTCATTATTGTTTGTAAGAAACATCATTTTCTATATCTTATTTTTATCCTGTGCATGTCTTTAAATCTAAAGTGTATCTCTTGTAGACAGCAAATAGTTGGATTTTTGTTGTTGTTGTTTTTAAATCCATTCAGATCACAACCTATGGGTTGTGATCCCTTTGCAAACCTCTATCTCTGAAAATATTTACATTATGATTCACAATGTAGCAAAATTACAGTTATGAAGTAGCAAAAATAATTTTATGGTTGGGGTCACCACATCATTAGGTATTAAAGGGTTGCAGCATCAGGAAGGATGAAAACCACTGCTTCAAATGCTCTTATGTCTTATGACTAGGGGATTTAATCAATGTATTCAAAACAATTTATTATAGAGAAGAACGTAAGACTACCTTTTAGTAATTGTTTTCTGTCTATCTTATAGTTTTTGTAGTCTTTTCTTCTCTGTGTTTTTCTGACTTATTAGCAGTGGATAGTTGCAATCTTATTTACCTCTGTGCATAATCTACAGGTATTGTTTCTGTGTTTACCATAGAGTTTGCATAGCATGACTTATATTTATAACACTGACTTCAAGCTGACTGCAGCTTATCTTTAACAGTACATACAATTTTTACATTTTATTTTATTTCTGAATTCTTTTGGGGATGCTTGTGATTGAGCCCAGACTTTGTGTATAATAAGTGAATGTTCTGACACTGGGCCACACCTTCAGCCCTCTACCCCTACGTGGTGTCATTACTATCACAAATTATATTTTTATAGCTGTATTTATTTTTCATTTATGTCTAGTACCATAAATGAAATTAATTTACATACTGTAAATTATGATATTTTAGTAGTCTGCATTTGACTATGCATTTACCTTCACCATTAGGCTTTCTACCTTTATATGCTTGTGTAAGACTCTTACACTTTCATTTCAATTAAAAATTCTCTTTAGCATTTCTTATTTTAATAAATGCAGTGATGATGAATTCCTTTGGTTCCTGTTTATCTGGGAAGGCCTTTCTGCTTTATTTTTGGAGCGACTTTGGTCAGGTATTACTTGACATTATTTTTCTTTAGCACTTGAATATGTCATTGTGTACCCTTCTGCCTGGCAAGGTAGCAATGAGAAATTGATAGTCTTACCACGTCTTCCATGTATGTGACAAGTCACTTTGATCTCAGGGCTTCCCAAATCCCCTATCTTTGATTTTGACAACTTGACTGTAATTTCTCTTAGCATGTGCTTCTTTGTACTAACCTCAACTAGGGTCTTTTGGACATTTAGATGTCCATTTCCTTCCACAGGTTTGGGAATGGTTGACTACTATTAATTTGGACAATCTTTTATTATCTGCTTCCTTTCTGTTCTCTTAGCACTAAAAATCTAACCAAAAGCCCAAGAAGTACTTTAAAAAGCACTCATCCCTTTCTTTCCTAACCTTTCTACTCTATGGTGTCCCCTAATTTCTGCAGGTTTTTTTTTTCTCCTTTTCTGTTCATTTTTATTATACTTCTGACTGGATAATGTCAATGATCCATCTTTGTGTCTGTTGATTCCCTTTCATGAATGAAGTTACTAATGAACTCCCTCTCTTGTGAATTTCCAATTCTACTGTGTTCTTTAGGTTTAAAATTATTGTTTGGTTATTTTAAAAAATTTCAAGAGAATTGATATTGCCATTCTGTTCGTGTTTTCTTGTGAGTTGATTGAATATCTATAATATGGTTATTTTGAATTCTTAATCTGGTGATTCATTTAACTCCATTACTTGCAGTGAGGTTTTGGAGATTTATTTTGTTCCTGTGATTGGGCCATGTCTTCTCATTATATCCTGTGCCTTGTACCTTTGTATTTAGAGTTGTATATTTGAAAAAACACCTGTCTTTGTATCTTTATACTCCTCTGTACAAAGAAGGACCTCTACAGTCATCCATGGTGTAGATTCTGGAACCCTCTCAAGTTTTCCCAAGGACACATTTTCCATGCTTGTTGTGTACAACCCTGTCAGAATTTTGCTGGTTTATTCTTCAGCTTGTAGTCTCTTTCTCCCTCTAGTGTCTATCTATAGTAGTACAAGTTTCACAGTGCTAAACTATGTGCCCTTCCCTGTGGCCTCAGGCCAACCAGGTACTATTTCTCTATCAGGAACCTGTGTTGGGTAAACCAGTCTCTCTGAAGCTCTCTGAAGAGCTGGGATTTTTCTGACACATGTTCCATTCATCCCTTCCACTCTCAAAGCCACAAGCTGGGCTCTCACTCCTTATAGTGGCGGACTGTGCCAGTTTCTGTTTGTGGCATTACAAGTTCTCTGGCACCAACACAAGCTGTTGAGCTCACTTTTGTTCTCTGTAGCCCCTAGGCATGAACACTGTGAAGTATGTGAGACAGAAATTAGTTCCTCGAGAGAAAAGACTTGGAATGTAAATTCTACTTTTCTCTTTACCTCCCAAGGAAGAAGCTGCAAATTGGGCTTTTGTGCTCTGAGATGTGGGGCCTTGGCTCTGGAGAAAGTGATATGTTTGAAATGGAATTGCTTCTTTTACTCTTCTCTCTCTATGAACCCCTCTTCTATCCCCCTTCTTTCCTTCCTTCCTTCCTTCTTCCTCCGTTTCTTTTGAGATTGACTAATGTTGCTCAGGCTGGCCTTGAACTTATGATCTTCCTACATCAGCTTCTTATGTAGCTGAGATTAAGGATGTATATCACTGTGCCTAGCTTACCATTTTCAATGTGACTATTCTTGGCTTTTAACTTAAGGTGTTGAAATTTCCCAGTTGATTTCTGGGGTTCTCATAAAGGCATTTCTCACTCATATGTGTTGTATTTTAGTCAACCTTTCTATGAGGGTGATGAGATTTGGTGCTTCGGATTCTGCCATCTTGCTGATGTCACTCCTCTATATCTCTTAAATAATGAGAAATGAAAACATACTCCACACTCATGTTCAAAATGCAAAATTTCCTACCCCATATGCTACCTTCTTGATGTGTTTTTTACACAGTTGTCATAACAAAGTACATTACTCAACATTGCTCATCCAGGGGCTCTGGGTTTCTATGAGCAGATGCAGTATTACATTTTACTCAAGGCCTTGCATTGGAGAGCCATGCATTTCATAAACACAAAACCATTATTGAAGAACACATGGGTGCCTCTGTCAATCAGATTCTAGTGTTGAGAGCTGGCGTATGCAACTGTCCCAGTCACCTTTAATCGTCAACTTGACACAGCCTAGGGAAAGAAGTAGCATGTCTGTGGGGGATTGTTTTGGTTGTTAACTGATGTAGGAGGGCCTAGCCCATTGTGGAATGCACCAGTTCCTAGCTCAGTGGTTCTCAACCTTCCTAATGCTGTGATTCTTTAATACAGTTTCTCATGTTGTGGTGACCCATAAATTATTTTTGTTGCTACTTCATAACTGTAATTTTGCTATGTTTATGAATTGTAATATAAATATCTGTGTTTTCTGATTGTCTTAGGTGACCCTTGTAAAAGGGCTATTTGACCCCAAAAGGGTCACAACCTACAGATTGAGAACCACTGCCCTAGGCAGATAGGTGGTCCTGGGCTGCATAGAAGCTAGCTAAACACAGGCCTGCCAAAAAGTCAGTAAGGTAATATCTCTCCATGATTTTTTGCCTTCAAGTTCGTACTTTAATTCCTGCCCTGTCTTTGCTTATCGACGATCTATGACTTGGAAGTGTTAAAAGAAAAGAAAAGAAAAAAGAAAAGGAAGGAAAAATGCATTCCTCTCCTATGTTGCTTTTCGTCCTAGCATTTTGACACAGCAATGGGATGGAACTATACAAGCAACTAAACATCTCTTCTCATGAACAACTCCTGACAAATCTCAAAGGAAACCTTTTTTATTTTTACTTCTCTTACTGAATGTATTTATCACATGCATTAAAGATTTGTGGTTGGCATAATTGCAGCATCAAAGAGAGTCTCCACCTCAGAATGTAAGGAACATTAGGACAGTAGAAGCCCCTAGGTAAAAGCAAAAGCAGATTAGTTACTTACCAAGTCTGTCTGTTTCAGAAGGCTTGACTACACTAGATTCCTGATCAGTATAGAATTACCTTCTAGTGTGGAGAATCTTTTCATTGCTTTTGCTTTCTAATGTGAAATGAAATATCCATCCATTTATTTCATATGTATATACTAGTAATTAGAAATGACAGATAAAAACATTTTGAAACAGTTAAAAATTTATATTAACATTAAATTTGGGCATAAGTATAAGTAATTTATATATAAACAGTGATACCAGTCTTCTAATTGTTTCTGACTCTGAAGATTAGGTTTTCTCTAAAGTTAATAGGAACTTATGTGCTACAATGACTAAGGAATCACTGTAATGACATGTTACTATTGAATAAATCAAAGTCATGGGTTAATAATTTTGATTTCCATTATAGGAATCTATGGCTGGTCAAAATGCAGAGAACAATTGACCAATGGATACATCTACAATTTAACTCATATGCCTAAGGCTTGGGAACATTGTAGAAGGTAGGGTGCCAGAAAGACTGTAAGAGCCAGTGGCCAGGATGTCTGCTGTGAGACAGTGTCTTTTACATGTAACAGGGAAGCTGAACCTATGAAATCTCAACAATATTGTCCCCTAAACAAGACCTGTATAACAACAACACCAGTTGACATGGCAGTATGGATGGGGAAATCTCACAAGGCCTTATCCTAAAATGAAGAGCCAAGGGCAACTAATGGCTGCTGAGGGAGAATGAATCAGTCTCCTTAGGGAAAGCCATCCCTGATAGTTTAACCAGTCCCAAGTGGTCAGCCCTTAACAAATACACGTAAGAGCAACACTAAATGGACTCAGTAGACTGTATTTAAATATACACATGTGTACACACAGACACACACACACACACACACACAACAATTAAGGAAGAAGAGGTCATGGATTTGAGAGGGAGTGTGTGTATGGGACACAGGAGGAGCTGAATTCAGGAGAAGGAGGCATGGAAATGGTGTAAATATATATTCATGTCCTGAGTTCTTGTATAACTTCCAGGGATTTACCTGGCTAGGTGATGGGTGATGGTGCTCTGTATGCTATGAATGTGTTGTTCCCATTGGTTGATAAATAAAAATTGCTTGGCCATTAGCTCAGACTTATTATTGACTAGCTCTTAAACTTAAATTAACCCATAATTATTATTTATGTTTAGCCACGTGGCTTGGTATGTTTTCTCAGTTCTGCCTTCACATCTTGATTCCTCTGTGTCTGGTTGGCAACTCCTGACTCAGCCTTCTTCTTCCCAGAATTCTCCTTGTTTGTTTATCCCACCTATACTTCCTGCCTCGCTACTGGCCAATCAGCATTTTATTTATCAACCAATGGGAACAACACATTCACAGCATGCAGAGCACCATCACCCACCATTTCCCCCTTTCTTTCTATTTAAAAGGAAAGTTTTAACTTTAACATAGTAAAATTATATATAACAAAACAGTTATCAAGAAAAAATTATAGTTATAATATTTAGTCTATTTGTATTTGGCAAAAATAAAAGAAGATATCCTATCTATCCTATATTTGTGAGTCCAAGGTTCCATATCTACCTTATCTCCTATCAAAACCAAGGAAAACCATAATTATAACTATCTAGTCTTCAACTATATCAAAGACCTCAAAAGGATATAATATTACCTAAGTAAACAGGAAGAACATTGTAAGCAACTTCCAAAAATCTAGAATAAAAGAGATAGCTAGCTGCCTGGACAGTTACCCAAAGTTCTTCTGCAATGTGGAGCATCCATTCTTCAGCCTACAGGCCTATAGTCTCTCAGTTGCTTCTCTCTGTGTCCTGTTGAATGTCTGGAAGTTTCTTCTGCAAAGCAGGAACCTGAAGGACCATTTTGCCTTGCTAAGTTCAGTGATCACCTTCCTATAGGTCCTGCATGTCCAGTCAATACATTTTATCAAGCAGTCCAGGCAAGAACAGTTTCTTGCCCAAATGGCTATTTTTGCCAAGAAGAAGATAAATTCCATATGGAGTGTCTTCAACTCCCATCTCTCTCTCTGAAGTAAATCGGTGCTGCCAGGAGCAGATATGTCTCACTGTCCAGAAAGTCTAAGTTTTTAAAACATTTCAAATGCCATATTCTGTAGGTCTTAGACATATTTAAAGACTACCTAACTAATTGAAATATATCTGTGTATACCTAGAAATAAGAATTAACATATCTTAACATAAATAAGAATTATGGGTTAATTTAAGTGTAAGAGCTAGTCAATAATAAGCCTGAGCTAATGGCCAAACAATTTTAATTAATATAAGCTTCTGAGTATATCTTAAACAGCTGAGTATCTTATAAACAGCTGTGGGCTCTGTGGGGCTGGGCAGGACTTGAGAAAACTTCAGCTACAGCTAGGGGTGACAAGGCAATGAAGAAATGATAGGCACACAGAGAAACACAGAAAAGCTGAGATTGAGTAGACTGGGCTCTCTGATGGAGAAACTGCAGCACCCTGGAAACTCAGCATGTTTATTATATATACAGTTGAACACAGAGGTGGTGTTATTGCATACAGACAAACAAAGAGGCAAGGTTATTGTACACAGCGAACAAGGAGGCAGGTTTAGCCAACCTCCGTAGGGAAAGCTTCTGTAGAGGAGCAGTGTACAGGCCTTACACAGCCAGGAAAAGAAAGCTATGGTTGGCATTTTTTTTTTTTTTTTTTTTTTGCACATGCTATCAATATCCGCACACGGACAAGAAGAAGGTTTAGCTGTCCTTTGGAGCTTCACTCTGTGAGTGTGTTTGTGGGGGGGCTTTTGCCATTTTCTTGAGTCTGAGGCTATGGCCATTGACATGGACATGCTCATGTCAACAGCACACATGGACCAAGGACTTCGTTCATTCAGAACTTCCTCCAGTCCCCACACTCACATCTGAAATTCTAAATCAAATCAAAACAAAATAAAACAAAAAAACACTCTACAATTAAAAAAGATTTGCTCAAATGTAGCAAAAAAGAAAATTTTGCATTTAGGTTATCATATTTCCATAAATTATGTCTTTAGTACACGAGGCAGCTCAATCACTAATTGTATAACAGTCACACATTCACAATTATAATGAAATTCTATTATCTTACAATTAATGGAGGAAAAAGCATGGATTTGAGAAATATGGGTATATGGGAAGGTCTGGAGGGAGGAAGGGGAATTGGGAAATGATGTAATTATACTCTTGAAAAAAATAAAAGAAATTAAAGAAAGAAAAAAAATTCTGTTATCTTTGAAGTCTTGCTTACCTCATTCATATAAAAATACCTTTATTTACATTTTAGATTTTTATTTCTATCAGCCTATTTGTCAATATATGAATATAGAATAAATAACATCTATCTTTTTGTACAATATGAACTTTTAGTCATCACTCACATACTGTGTGAGACTCTTATCTTCTTTCTGGGACTCATGACATGTTCAGGGTAGCTGAACTGGTTGTGCTTTGCCAGTCACCACTCACTGCTCTGTGGGGATACTTGGAATAAAGAGTGGCAGTTGAAAATCCTGCTGGTCTCCTCTGTGTACCTGTTTGGGGAATGTGCTAGATCATTCTCATTCCAGGAGGGAAAGAGATGTGGCTGAAGGTCCTCTATGGTATCTTCTGGCTATGGGGACTTTGTTTTCAGTTGTTTCTGGTTCTGTGGTTGCTATGTGGCTGCTGTCTTGTGAGTGGCCTCACACATATTGCAGAATGGACCATTATGCATAGCTTTGTTACTGTTTAAAACACTGGGTTTGGGAGAATTTGATATCCGTACCTGGACGCATTCAAACTTTTAAAACTAATTCCAATATTGCCATTGTTGAAAGAATCCTTCTTCGCTGCTCAATGAAAATCAACTCAAAATTGACCAGAGACTTAAGTATAAGACCTGAAACTATGAGACAGCTAGAAAGAAACACGTGGAAGGCTTCAGGATACTGGATGGGTGAAATTTCTTGGAAAAGATCCAAAACACACACACACACACACACACACACACACACACACAAAAAAAAAAAAAAAAAAACCCAAAACAGACAAAAGGGTTACGCTTAAATAAAAAGCTTTTGCAAAACAAACAACGCATTATAGACACAGTTTACAAATGAAAGAGAAATAGCTTGCACAATGTGAATCTGACAAGGAGTGGGTGCCCAGAATTTATAAAGAACTCTGAAAACTCAGGAGCAAAAACTAAACAATAAGGTTGGAAAAATAGGCAGAAGAGCTGTAATAAACAAAGAAGATACACAGATAGTCAACAAACACATGAAAATGTGCTCAGAATCGCCAGTCATCAGGGAAACACATATTAAAACTACCATGAGATCCCACTTCAGTCCAGTAAAAATGATTACCTAAGGGACTGAAGAGAGTGGGTGCGAGCAAAGATGTGGAGAGAAGTGAACTGTTCCGCACCGCTGGTAGGAATAAAAACCCATACAGTTGCCCTCAATTGAAAACTAATATTATAATCTTCAACTGTGATTTTTAATTATTCCACATTTGAAGTTATTTATTAGTATGTATTAATTGTAAAAAACAAAACATTTTAATAATTCTAATAGTAACTTGGGGTTTTTAATCTCATGATTTGTAAATGTACACTTTTTCTTCATAATGATTCTTAAAAATGTGAAGAGATTGTTAAAAATTTCTTGATCAAAATCTGCCTTTCTTGGATAACGATGCAACAATCCGTAGACCCCAAGAGGCTAGGTAACAAGGAGGGCCCAAGAAGGGACAAATGGATCTCCCAGGGAAGGGGAAGTAGAAGAGTTCTTGTGGGTGGAATGGGAGTGAGTGGCTATGGGAACATGAGGGATTGGGTTGGATGAATGGAGGGGGAGAGTACTGAAAGAGATGACTGGAAATGGGGGGGGGCGCCATTTCGGAGTCAGGTAGAAACCTGATGCAAGGGAAGCTCCTAGGTATCTACAAGGAAGACCTCAGCAGAGACTCCCAGCAATGGTGGATATGTAGCCTGAACCGGACATCTCCTGTGCCCAGGCAGGACTTCCCATGGAGGGATTGGAAAACCAGCCCACAATCTTTGACCTACAGTCTATCTTGCTTGTAGGAAGTGTGGGAGATTGGTGACTACTACAGTTGTCACCAGAGAGCCTTCTTCTAGTATTGATGAAAAGAGGTATAGAGACCCACAGCCAAGTATTGGGTTGACCTCAGGGAATCAGAGGGAGGAAGGGTTCTATGAGTCAGTGGTCATCACAAGAAACACATAATCTGGGCTCGTAAGAACTCAGAGTCTGGACCGATAGCCAGGGAGCCTGCATGGACTGACCTAGGCCCTCTACATATGTGTGATAGTTGTGTAGCTTGGTCTACTTGTGGGACTCTTAGCAGTGGGAGCAGGGGCTGTCCCTAATGCTTTGACTGGCTTTTGGGAACCTATTCCTCATAGTGGGTTGCCTTGCCCATCCTAAATACAGGGGAGGAGCTTAGTCCTATCTCAACGTGATATGCCAAGCTTTGTTGATACCCATAGGAGGCCTGCCACTTTCTGAACAGAAACAGAGGAGGAGTGGCTAGGGGGAGTGGAAGAGATGTGGAGGAAGAGGATGGGAGGAGAGGATGGAGGAGAAACTGGTTGGGATGTAAAATGTATGAATAAATTTACTTAATAAAAGAAGCAGCCTTTCTTTTAAACGTAAGTCTGATAATGGTTCTGTATTACAACTTGTGAAAATGTTTTCTGCATTCCAGTTTTATAATCATCTCTAACAAAAGTTTTTTAAAGCATAATTACATATTAATGAAAAATGTGTTTTATAAAATAAAACACATATTTCCATAAAACACAGTGGAGGAAGACATTTCTAAAAGTTGTCCTCTGACTTTATATTCCATGCCCCTCCCCCAATCCTAGCCATCACGGGGCTTTACAAAGCACTCGGCCTATTGTACAACAAATTCTGATTTAATTGGTCTGCCTTAGAGTTGGAAACTTTTGTTATGGGCATGGGTCTGACTATTACAGTAACCAAGAGAGCTTTGGGCAATATCTGTGCCTATACTTTAGACCCCATGTTTTGGGCAGCATATTTTATTTGCAAAGAGAACCACTGTTCAAGGCAATATCTTGCCTGCCCTTACCGTGCTGCAGCGTAAGAGTCACTGCTTAGCCTTCTATGTAGAAGATTCTAGAGCATGCAGAATTGAATGGCATTGGCTTAAGGTTTATAAAGCACGATCTCTCAAGCATAGTGACTTGAAATTTGGCTGCAAAAACTGTAGACATATTGGGGTCCTTCTTAACGTGAGGCCCTCTGCTTTGCACTGGTGGACTGTGGTGACATGGACAATGGTTTTTAACCCTGGATACATGCTATGGTTGCCTAGAGAGTCAACAAAAGAAAAACACATACGAAGGAAATCTTTCAGCCCTGGTTGTGCTTCATCTAAATATGGTGCATGAGAATCTCAGAAGATGGAAGGTATCTACGGTCTTTTAAAAAAATGTCAGCTACTTTAAAGAGTAGTTAGAACAGGGGACAATTAGTTTAAAGAGAAAGGTCAGCACTTGATTTCCAGTTGCTGCTGACCATTTGTCCAGTTACATTGGCTCCTCAGTGTCTGGTGTCTTTCTCTGTCCCTAACTCAAACTGTGCTGCTCTCATTAACTGCACATGCCTTGCTAGTCTACCCTCTCCATATGAACAACTTTATCATTCAGTGAGTGAATTTCTTGCTTGCAAAGTCTCTCTTCTTGCTCCAGCTTTTAGTGTGTACCTCTTCTGCATCTTCCTTCCAGTGTGTGTGTGTATTTGTTCTTTTCTGTAAGGGCAATGCCAGCCTATGGCAGGGTTTTGAGAAATTCATGCCATCACTGCTAATTGTGCTTTTGCTGAAGAAGTTAACGATTCTCCCTGAAGAGTGGATGAAGACATGGAATAACCAAAGCTCTCATTCTCCATCTTCTGCTTTCCATTTGGGACATCTTCAGAAGGTAGATAACAGGCCAGCCTCTTGGTGAGGGATCCCTAGCGGTAGATTTTCTATTTTATTGTTTTCTTCCACTCTTGGACCATGTGTGAGAAGGTATTAAATGGGCCAAAAAGTTTCTCACTCTGATAAATATCCTTTTGGGTTTGGGAAACAGAAAGACCTGAAAGAGTTTATAACTTGAAAATAGAAGTTTCCTAGTCCTTCTTTGATATAATCTAAGTATTTCTCAATGCTTTCCTACTTGAAAAACAAATCTTAACTATAGTGCAAGGTTCATCTTCACCATTTTCTTATGTTCAGCCATCCATCTATTCATGATTCACTTGTTGAATACATGTGTGTTAAGGCTCATGTAGACCCTGTGAAGACCCTGAAGAGTCTGTGTGCTACCCGAGTGTGTGCAATTTTCAGAGTCAGGGTTTACATAGTAACAGAATTGAGGTCCTTTACAAAGTTTCCACCCACTTTATCTTAGATTCATTTTTCTTATTAGTGGAATATGTTAGATAAACAGTACAGGTAAACACATTTTGAAAATTGATTCTCTTACCTAAAACAAACAAACAAACAAAAAACTAAAAAACCCCCAAAAGACTCCCCCCAAAAAACCCAAACTTGAAAACTCTATAAATTATATGACTGCAAGGTAAACAAATCCATATTCATACAAACACAGATCTGTTTTTATAAATACAATGCAAATGCACACATGATGTGTGTGGCTAATGCATATGTAGACCCTGTAACATGTCCGTTTCAATGCTAAATATTTAAATTCTCCTTAAAAATGCCAACAAATTGCTAATTCGTGGTGACTGTAATCTAATTCTGCTCTAAAACCAAGTATAACTGGTACACAATTTCCAGTCCTAATATTGGAGTCTCAGGTTAGGAACTGGATAATTACTGTGTAATTATGTGGCTTTGGGTAGTGATGCACCCTGATGGTGGCTGGAGGAGCACTCGATTCATTTGGTATACTTATAAATTATTTACCCGTTCTGCTGGCGTTCTTGAATTTGCATTCATATATTTTAATACTATTTCGTTGTACGAGCATTTGCCCTTGGCTGAAAAATAATAGAGTCTAATGAAAACAAAACTAAGTCATGGCCTTTGCTTTACAATGTTTCTGAGAACTGAATCTTATTTTAAAATCACCACTTCGAATGTCCAGACTTCTTGGTTACCTATTCATTTCCTTTGGCTTTTAGAAGTTGATTATTTATTTTGTTGCTGTTGTTCCGAGGCTATGGCTGAGGAACACAGAGCTCTATGAAAATGGTAGAAGAAATATGCATAGAGCTCTATTGAAATATATGCAAAGCAAATGGTACCCAGCTTGTGATTTGGTCACCTGCATAGAGTGCATTGGCAATCCTGTGTGCTCATTACCCTCTCTACCTTTAGTAAACCATTATTCCTCTATGGCTTGCTGCCCTAGTGGTAATGTCAGCCAAGTGTGGTGCCAGCTGCAGCTAGAAAATAAGGAGGTAGCCCTGCTGATACATTTTAGCACCTCTTTTGAGAGTCTGGATAGTGAGTGGGATGGCAGA